GAGGGAGCCTCGGGCAGTTGGCTGGCCGGCCCCACCCCCGATGGGGGTTGGGGAGGGCCAACAGGGGCAGGGATGGCTGGGGGGAGGGGCCTATTGGGCCGGTTGGCCACTGCTGTGCACGTCATAGTGACTGGTCGTTCTGGTCGCTTGGCTTTTATATATATATATATGTAGCTCTTAATATGTTATATAATCATTTATTATTGTCATCATTGTTTTATTAGTCATTTATTCATGTCATATGTGGACTTAGTCCTTGCCATTAGGAGCTTACAATTGGGCTGGGAGACAGAACAATTACTTCAGAGTGTTAGTTCTAGGAGAGAAGGGGACCCAGCGGAATTGTGTTGGGCACCTAAAAGGAGGATGATGGTGAGAGTTGAGGTTTATTGAATACTTTTACATGGATCATTTCATTTAAATTCTCAACAACTCTGTGAGGTGGATATTATTCTTATCCTCATTTTATATAGGTCTAGAGCAGTGGTCAGCAAACTCATTAGTCAACAGAGCCAAATATCAACAGTACAAAGATTGAAATTTATTTTGAGAGCCAAACTTTTTAAACTTAAACTATACAGGTAGGTACATTGTTATTAACTTAATTAGGGTACTCCTAAGGCTTAGGAAGAGCCACACTCAAGGGGCCAAAGAGCCGCATGTGGCTCGCGAGCCATAGTTTGCCGACCACAGGTCTAGAGGATTAAGAATTCTGTTGATGAGTAACTTGTCCAAGTCCATCCCATTAATACATGGCAGAGCAAGTCAGCCTGAAGTCAGAGCCCAAACCCTTAATACTAAGCATGGGAATGGTAGCCTGAACTAGGTTAGTGGCAGTAGAAATGGAAAGAAGTGGATGAATTTCAGAGGTATTTAGTGCGCGGATCAGAAATTGATTGGTTGTGAAGTGGTCGGGTGAGTAAAGGATGAATCAAGAGTAATGCCCAGGTCTTTGAATTGAACATCAGTGTGGATAGTTGGGAAAACACAGGAAGAGGGGTGTGTCAATCACCCAGAGGTCAGGCCAGAGATGTAGATTTGCAAGCTAAAATGTATAATGCAACTATAGCTTACTAATTGGAACTAATTCTTTGACCAAACTAATTGTGTTTATTTGTAATGTTGCTTGCTTCTTTGGTATGACATGCAGAAAGAAACTGGGCACATACTTTGTCAATTTTTTTAAGCCCTATTTATATTGTATGTCTTTGTATTTTTTCCTAATTATTCAGAATTGAAGAAAATAGAAAATTTTTTTTACTGGGCTTTTATCTGAACTTGTGTGCTGTTCAGCAATTTAAATATTGTCGTGAAATGATTTGTTTTCTGTTTAAGGTATAAGAACACCAAGACTTAAGGGACTGTGTCTCTGCCACTCCCAGGGGTCTCTGCTCTGCCTTTCCATATCTGTCAGAGTCATTTGCTTGGAGATGTTCAAGCGCTCTCTTACGTGTTTTGTCTTTTGAGCCAGAAAACTACGTTTTGCCAAAGCTAAGTAGGTTTTGCATTCCAAAAGGCTGTAACTGGCTTTTCATTCACACCACATGACCATCACATGGTTTCCCCTCCCAGCCAGAAACCCTTCCTCCTGCCTCGGCATTTCCTGCAGCAGAGGCTAGCGGGAACAGCTGGTTAGTGCTGCCAGAATCAGCAACAGTACCAAGCTTTCACATCAGCTGGGTCAGGTCATTGGTTTCTCAGGTTTAAAGACTTAGGTGTTTTGTTTTGTTTTTAATTTTAAAAGAAGAAAACTTTCCTGACTCCTCTTTGATGGGTTTATTTATATATATGTAGTATTATTTCCCAATGTTTTCATTCAACTTTTTTCACTAAGTTATGTTTTCTTGGTTTACTTAACATTGTTCCATAAATACTTTATACCTAGATCTGTTGAATTAGATTGATAGTTTTATTTTTAAAAACAGAGGTACTTATTAGCAAAATGTAGTTTTTCGTTATATTTTAAAAACCAGGTTTATGCTTCTGATAAATGATAAATGTTCATAAAAGATATTTTAAATTGGGCCACATAGTAAATTGCTGTATTCTGATATAGCAAATGCCCTTCATACCTGTTTTAGGAAGCGGAAGGGCAAGGCAAACTAGAGGAAAGTTACGTGCGCAATTTTGCTGATTGTGGCTGGTTGGGGGAGATTTTAAATTTTATTTGGCTTAAGTGCTAGAATGAAGTGACAGTCTAAGCTGTCTTCAGCATTTTATAGCAGTCCTCGAGTCACATCTGATCTTTTCACTGTCAGCTGTGCCTTTGCACATGTGGGAATGGAGTACTCCATTATCCGTTTTTCGAATGAAGGAAACTGTACGCATTTCTCAGGCATTAACAAAGCAGAGACAGGTTACTTAGAAAGATCTGCTATGTTTCCAACTATTGGCTAAATAAGTTAAAAACCTCTGTAGTGTCTGAACAGATGCATATTCTTACCTGGGCTATTGCAGCATTCTCCTAAATGGTCTTCCTGTCTTCAGGGAGATGTCCCCTTCAATCCCTGCGCCCCCTGCAGCTACATTTATCGCATCCGAACCGCCCTTCCCTCCCTGGCTTCAGATGCCTCTGTGGCTCCCTGTGACAGCGCAGCTGCAGCCGAGGTTCGTGGACTGAGCATCAGCCGCTCCTTGGCTCTTCTTTCTATGCCGTTCCTGCTGCCAGACACCCCCATCCAGCCCCTCCCCTGCCAGATGGTCTTCCTGGCTTTTAAGACTGACCTCAAGTCCGAGATGTGCCTGACACCTTCCTTTCTAACTTTTCTCCCTTCCTGGCCAGAATGCACCTGTGTGCCCAGGTGCCTGTGTACTTGTTGGTCAGAGCACTTACAATGTAGCACGTGGGGTTTCCTCGTCCTTCTGCGGGCTGAGCTCCCTGGGAGCAGACTCTCTGTCTCCCATGCCCAGCACCATGCCTCCCCCCTGAATGTTGGACACAGGTGTCGAATGAAGGACTGAATTCAGAACGTCCCCTCCTCGGGTCCTTAGCTAGGGCGCTATCATCCAGACTAGAGCCCAGTTTTCTTTGACTCCCACCTCCTTCCCCACTTAGAACATGCTGCTGTTTTGCCTCAGGAATACCCCGCAGATCTCTGCCACCTTCTCCTCTTTCTGGTTTGGGCTCAGACGTTTGTATCTCTCACTTGACTTCTTCAAGTGGTCTCCTGACCCTCATGCCATGGTCCCCTTAAGTGTTTCCTTCTGCCACAGCCACTCATGATTTTTCTTCTGCTCATGTCCGATCGTGTCATTCTCTTGCCCAACTCCCTCAGGGCTTCCGTGTTGCCTCCAGAATCAAGGCCTGCCCCAAACTCAGCTTTCTACCTCCGTTCCTGCGGCACTCCCCCTCCTCCCATGTGCCTCCCACTCCGAGGTCTCCTGAGCTAGAGCGAGCCCTGACCCCAGCTCTGGGGTACGCACTGGCACATGGGACTGTCAGCCCCTTGGCTGTAGGCAACATTTCTGGCCACACACTTGGAATAGGTCAAAGCAGATGCCTCCATTGTGGCTGACTGTAGTGGGTTTCCTCTGCCCCTGCTCCCATCCTCTCCCTCACACTCAGCATGGGTGGCGAGTCTGCAGAGGCTTGGGGGCTTTCAGGTGGTCTTTGCAGTTGGGAAGCGCTCTGTGCCACCGTAAGGTAAACACTCCTTTGCCAAAAGCTCGGTTTTCCTTTCGGGTTTGCCAGTCACCGGTCTTCCTGCCTTGGTGACAGCCTTAGGAAGTTCTGTTTAACAGGAGATCCTGTCAGTAAACCCGTCACCAGGTCACCTTTTTAAAGGATTCTTAGGAGGCAGCAAGGAGCACAGGTAGTAAGCAGATTGCTGTTGCAGAGCATCGAAAGAACCTGCCTCTCAAACCCACTCAGGATCTGAAAGGCCACCTCTTTTGCTGGACCACAGCTAGAACAGTGTGGGATCTATGTTCCTGTCACAGGCCCTGCGGGGCCTGCCCGCTGTGGGGTTTGGGTTAGAATAGCATGGTGTTAAGAACTTGGGCTTTGGGTGTTGAGTCTGCCAGGTCTGACTTAAGTCTCTGCCTTGCCGGTTACAAGTTGTGTGATTTTAGAAAGCTGTCCTTTCTGATAGTCCCTCTCTACCTCGTAGATGCATTGTTAGGATTAAATGTGATCGTATGAAAAACATTTAACAGCAATGCCACTTGCTAGGAAGAACTCAGTAAATGTTAGCAGCTTTCTTTATTATGATGATGACCAATATTTACTCTTTACTCAAGCTCGTATTGCAAGTCTTGCTGCAGAAATAATTGTGTGGGCTTACCTGACAGGGTGTGGGTTAATTAGCTGATGATGGTAAACATTTCATAAACCTTTGTCTACAGTACATTAAGGTGAGTCAGGTTACAGCTGGTCTTGTAAGGTGCTCTGTACAGGGAAGGTTTGTTTCTTTTCAGGATGCGTGACGGACCATTTTGTGCTTCTGGCTTGTTCCCAGTGAAATTGTGCTGATAGAACAGAATCTTGCTGCCTGAAGTCACACACATGAACACATACAGCGTCTTCATACGGGATTTCTGGGGGAGACGTGGCAGAGTCCGCTGGACACGGTGGTGTTGGAGAGCAGCTGTTGTGTGCTGTGCCCCGCTTCCCTCCGCTGCGGCGGGCGTGTGAGCAGCACACACGTGCTCTCCTGTAGCCTGGGTGCAGTCTGATGCTGGCAGCTGCCTGGCCGGTTTTTCCATTACATTTGCAGCGCTTACCAGAAAGCTCGAAAGAAGAGAAGAATTCAGGCAGCCCGTAGCCCTTGCTTGTTTTGAAGGCAGGGAGGGTGGCATCTTCTCTGTTGGCCAGTCTCTAAAGGATACAGATATGAGGGAGCGATATTTTAGACTTAGCCAAAATAAAAAAAATTTAAAAAGAATGAGGTAGAAGAACAGAAAATGATTCTTGGATCTGAAATAGTGTAGCTTGAAGGAGAGCCTGCTGAGGGAGCGGTGGCAGAGAGCTGGGCCTTCTGAGACATTTACTGTCTAACGCAGATCAGCAATATCCTGTCCTATTTTTATTACTATTTTTTATTTTGGTAAGTAGAGTGTTTTTGGAATGAAGTTACACTCATTCATGTATGTTGTTGGTTTGGCTGCTTTCATGCGACAACCGCAGAGTTGAGCAGTTGTGACAGAGACCATGTATCTCACAAGCCAAAAATAATTACTGTCTGTCCCTTTGCAGGAAAAGTTGTCAACTCTAGCCTAAAGCAGAGATCTTCTCTACTATCTCTTAGCAGGACTTGGGATTTTAGAGAGTACTGTTTAAGCATCAGGCAAACTTGGATTCATATCCCAGCCCAGCTGCTGACTGGCTGTGTGGCCTTGGACAGGTAGCTTAACCTCTCTGTGCCTGTTTCTTCACCTGTAAAACTGAGTTAATAATTAGAACCTGCCTTACAGGGTTGTGAGAATGAGCTAAGGCCTGGAATGCGCTCAGGGTGGCATCTGGCATGAATTAATTGTAAACTAATTGTAAATGTTAGCTGCTGCTGTTAGGGTGATTCTGTGGTTCTATGAAGTGTAGTCTGCATGGTGCTACCCCAGGCAGATGCCAAGGTAGCTTGAACAAATCCATTTTAAACCCATTGCCACTAACTCAGAGGAGTAAGAGAGTCTCTGATGTAGCTGAGAATTAGCCCAGTGGCTGGGCTAAGACCCTTGTTCCCATGCACTCTGATCTTCAAAACAACACTGCTGAAGAGGGGCTGTCTTCTGGCTGTTGCTTCATCCTTGTCCAGTCATTTGTGACGTTTCCTTGTAGGATTAGTAAGTATTTTCCTCCCTGACACCATGATTTCCTGGTATTGTTTTAAACTTAGAATTCAGATGAATCTTCTAAACTTGTTCATTCATTCACCAAACCTTTGTTGAGTGCCGGCTGTGTGCTGGGAACTGCTGCACATCCCTGTCTGGATGCTGACAGTGCTTGTGGACCGGTCCCTGGCCTTCCTCCTAGCTGCCAGCTCTGGCTGGTTTTGAAAGGGGTAGCACCCCAGTAGGATGCCAAAGCCAGGACCTTTCATTATGTTTGCTTGGCTTTATTTTGGGGGAAAGGGGAGAGGGCCACATTTCAGGGTCCATTAATGCCTGTTCCTTGGAGCAACTGAAAGAATTCAGGGAAAGGGTTAGCCAGCTGGCTGTAAAGTGGGTCCAAAAAAGGAGGATGAGGCTCTACTGGGTCTTGCAAAGGAGGACCATGAAAAATAGAAAAGTCTCTGGAGAACTGAGGCCTTGCCCCTAATGGAACAGCAAACTCAGGAGAACCAAGGCCAAGGCAGGCCAGCCCCTCCTCTCCCCACCTCCCTCTCCTCCAGGCCAGACCTGGTGGCTCTGCCCTTCTGTTAGGAATAAGCCGTGAATCTAAAGAGAAGCTTTAACCGAGCTTGGGAAACGTAAGACACGTTTTCTAGGCTGGATGCACTGGTGGTGGGGATAGTTACAGAAAACTGCTGTGGAGCCAGAGATTAGAGGGATGAGTAAGAGAAGAGGAAAATGGACAGTGAAAATTGGCACAAAATGGGCCTCCCCGGCTTTGCAGCCGTGCTTCTGTGTTACAGACCCAGTGCTGTTGGGTAGGATCGGATCATGTCCTGGTGCTGCTGAAATCCCCATTGCACCTAGAATGAAGTCTGAATCTGGGCCACCGAGTCCTGCGTGCCCTGGCTCTGCCTGCCCTGCCAGCCTCGTCCTGCCTCCGTGCCCTGCACCCCCTACTCCACTCCTCTCCCTGTATAGCTCTTCCAACAGGCTGTGCGCTTTTCCCACAGGAGGCCCCTCCTGGAAAGCTGTCCCCATGGCTCACTCCCAGTCTTTCGTCAGGGTCTGCTTAAAGCATCTCTTCCTTACAGACCCTCTGGCTCTTCCTGTCAGAACCCCCTAATGCATCCAGTATTCCCTTTGCGGCTCTCATTATGCTTACAACTATGTTTTTGATGTCTGCTTTCCCAGTAAGCCCTGTGGGGGGAGCACAGGGACCATGTCTTTGTTGACCCTGTTATAATTGTTCCTTACATTTGTTTATTGACTCAGTAACCAGGAGCAATACTTTGTAAATGGTTGGGGGCGGGGCACAAGCTTTAACCTTTTATTCTACAAATAATTTCTGAGCAAAATAATTATTTTACACACATATTTTAAAGGAATTCTCTGGTGCCATTTTTCAGTGACTGTACACACATTGGACAAGTCTCACTTGCTTTTCTCTTCTCCGCAGAATGAAATGTGCCTGGCCACTCAACAGCTTTCTAAGCAGCTCCTGGCATATGAGAAACAGGTAACTTGATACTTATATGGCATGTGATGTTGTGCTCAGGACTTTCTTAACTGGAGTTCTTTAAAAGAAATTCTCCAAAGGCTTTTTTAAGAGACCTTCTATCCTCCTTCCCCCTTCCCCTCTCTTTTTTTCCATAATCCATTTCCATTTTTTCTTGTCTTTTCCTTTCCCCTGATAAATTCTCACTGGTGATTATCTTAGAGTCTGTATGATGCCTTCTCACTAGCCTACAGAAGTAATCAGCTGCCCTTGAGGGAGGGTTCATGGTCCCTGAGAGACTACAAATGAATTGACACTAACAATTCCAGGAAATAAATGCAGATACCATGATGTCTGAACAGAGGGAGATGGCCAGCGAAGGAATAGTTTGGGAGGGGCAGTTGTGTGCTAGACGCTCTGGTGTGCCCTGCTCTTGGGAGAAGAAAGGAAGTTGGTGTGGAGGGCATGTGTGGTGGGGTGATGCCGTGGTGCCGAATTCCCAAGCATTCCATAATACCTGGCTCTCTTATTCTTTGGTCTTAGAATTTTGCTCTTGGCAAAGGCGATGAAGAAGTAATTTCTACACTTCACTACTTCTCCAAAGTGGTGGATGAGGTAAGTTAGCAACATGGCAAAAAAAATTGTTTTATTCGTTTTTGAACTTTCAGCTATTACTTTGGTCCACTTTCTATATTTAGATACCTACTTAAATATCCGAGATGTTATTTCAACTTGTTAATATTCCAAGGTTTGTTTCATAAAAGAGATTGTATACTATCATATGTTTCCAGTTTGAGGGGAAGGGCTTTGATATACATGAGCAATAAACCAAAAGAAAGATTTCCAAGAATTTAGTTTCCTAAGGAGGGTGCATTAGCCTCTCAGAACTGCTGTAATAAATTACAAGTATGTGGCTTAAAACAATAGACATTTATTTTCTCGCAGTTCTGGAAGCCAGAAGTGTGAAATCGAGGTGTTGGCAGGGCCATGCTCCCTCCGAAGACTCTAGAGCAGTGGTTCTCAACCTTGGCTGCACATTAGAATCACCTGGGAATCTTTTTAAAATCCTGATTTCTGGGCCTCATCCTCCGGAAATTCTGTTTCTTTGTTATGGGGTGGAGCCACAACATTAGTAACAAAGGAACAGAATTTCCGGAGGATGAGGCTCAGAAATCAGGATTTTAAAAAGATTCCCAGGTGATTCTAATGTGCAGCCAAGGTTGAGAGCCACTGCTCTAGGGGGTGGGGAGGACCCCTCCTTCCTCTTCTGGCTTCTGGTGGTTCCAGATGGTTCTTGGCTTGTGGCAGCATCACTCCCACCTCACCCTGCCTTCACATGGCCTTCCCGGATTCCACCTCACCCCCATGTTTGTTCTCTTTTCTGTGTCCTCTCTTCTCATAAGGACACTTGTCCTTGGATTTAGGGCCCACCTGGATAACCCAGGATGATCTCATTTCAGGACCCTTTGTTACATCTGCAGAGACCATTTTCTCAAATATTCACATGTTCAGGGTGAACATTTCTTTTGGGGGAGCAGGATTCTACTAGTGCTGGGCAGAATCCTCTGCAAAATTAGGTAGATTTAAACTGTTTCATCTTTCAAGGAGTTTGCAAATTTGTCATAGAAAATCGCGACAAAAAATAAGCAAAAAAAGAAAATATGCAGATGCCACTGAACTGTTGAATCATTAATACAAAGTAGCACTATCTTCAGATTATAAAATGAGAAACTAACATTCATGTAAAATTGTACTGATAGCATTTTCATTCATTCAGCAAATCAGTCAAGTTCATTCGACAACCGTGACTGACCACCTGCTGTTTAGCAGGTGCTGTTCTGGGCACTGAGGATGCACCAGACAACAAGTTGACCGGTTCTTTTTTAGCTCCATCCTCTACTCCACTACTGTGACTTTCTTTAAAATGTGTGTTAAAATGGATGGATAATATAATTAGAGAGGAGCAAAAAGTAACTATTTTGGAAAGTGAGGAGAAGAATGTTTATTAATTAACAGTGAATAAATAATCCAGGGAAAGAAGCAAAAACTACACCCACTGAAGCCATTTGTTTTCTTGACTGGAAGACAATGGCTAAGGACATGTGGGTAGTCGTCAGAACCAAGATTTCCAGATAAAGATATTTACTCGCAACCATATTTTCATGGGCAGAAATGATGATTTCAGTGGAGAGTGAATCACTCTCAAAGGATGGGGGCCTGGAAGTGTAACTGTCTGGTGGCATCATGGCCTCCTGGAAGTTCAGCACCTTAAGGCGTTTTCAGAGATGCAAGTGAGAGCAGTTAGCTCAGGGAAGAGGGGAGTCGCTTTTGAGGTTATTTTTCTACCTGGGCCTATACCAGATTGAAAACTTTCCAAGACAAGTAATTTGACTCCGAAGTTAAAGAAAACTCCAAATAAAAGTAGTTTGTGCGGCTTTTATTTAATAGAATGTCCTGGAAGCAGATCTCCGTGTAGTGGCATGCAGAGATTTTGGCATTGGTGATTCCCCCAAAAGCAAAGTTTCTGAGTCACTTTCTTGGAGTTCATCTGAGACAGGAAGTGGTCGTCATTATGGATTCCATTGCTGAGGGGGTGTCAGGCCCTCTGCTCTGAGTGTTTTTTATTCACGTTCCTGCTTTATCCTCACAGCAGCCGTGCAGGGAAGATGATGGGTCCCCATTTTCTCTGTGACACCGCTGAAGTGCCAAGAGGTCATCTACACTCTGTCCACTCTTCTCAGAGAAGACACTGTGTTTAGAAATGGTTGTCCGATACCTCTCCAAAGCCCCAGGACAAAAAGTGGGTGACACGCACCCTTTGAACCTTAAGAAGAAAGTAGGAAGAAATGAGTAGCTAGGAAATTTGCCGTTCCTGAAGTGCATAACCTTTGGAATGCCACTTATCTCCCTGAGTTTTGGGTTCTTCATCCGTGGGAAAGCCCACTTAATTACGACGTTACAAAGATTAAATGAAATGATGTAGATCAGATGTTAAGCCCAGAGACAGGCACATAGTAGGTGCACTTGTTGACTTTCACTCAATTAACTTAGTAAAAAAACAGTCCATTTCTTATTGAAATTATTCAGGAAAAATCATTAACACATGCTGTCCTGATGGCTAATTTAGAGGCGTGACTGTCTTCGTGTATTTCCAGCTGGACAGAGCTGCCATGCCTTGGCTTGATTGACAGATGGGGAGAACATTAGCAGCTCGGCCTGTAGCTCCTTGCCTGGCGAAGGGTCGACCTTGGGCAAGGCTTTAAGTTTATCAAAGCAGCCTCTGCAGGAATAGCCCTGAAGGACCAGAGGACTGGGGAGACCTCTGTGTAGGAGACTCAGATATCACTGAGAGAAACTGCCCCATGTTTACTCCACAAAGTGACTGCTGGGCGATTCCCCTATTCACCCAGCAGGAACCCTGGGGCATCCTCAGTAACCTCTGCAAGTCTGGGCCCAGGGAAGAATCCCTCCCACTGTGTTTGTTTCTAATTGCTAATGTCTGGCTGCCAAAACATCTGAAGTTTTTGGCAGCTTTGTGAGCATGAAAAATAACTATCTCAGACAGTGGAATGGGAAGAGCATGGCGTTTGGACCCTAATAGCCTGGGATTAAATCCCAGTCATGCCACTTACTTGCCTATCTGTAAAACAGGGCTAATAAATTATACCTAACTCACAGAGCAGGTGAGACTGAGAACTAGAGCATGGAAGCTGCCCTACAGAAAATGCTCCAAATGGTGGTGCTGATGGGTTCACTTATTTCTCCTGGACCACTGACAGCGACGGGCTTTAGCGAGGCCTTAGATAGACGGGGAGAAAGAGGAAGAATCAGGGGCTGTTAGAACTGTCTGGTGTGGAGCGTCACGCTTGGGAACAGTCGTCTCATTCTTAGAAAGGTTTTTTTTCTGAAGAGCAGAGGCCTGGGTCTGGCTGAGTTGTTTCAGTAGGGAGCTTTCTTTGCCGGAGCATATTCCCAGGCCCACGCCCGCAGCTGGCTGTGGTTTCAGGGTTAGAAGGCTCCCAGCAGGCCTGCCTTTCAAGTGTGACTGCAGCCCTCTGCGAGTGAGAGAGCTCACAGCGGCCTGGCGAGGCTGTGACTTGTGCTGAGCGCTCCACCCAGTGAGCTGTGTTCACTGCAAGCACATCACAGCGCTCTTGCTCCCCAGGGGGTGTGGCTTAGACTGAGAACACCGAGCCAGAGTTTGCACATAAGCAAACGATAACTGTGGCTCAGACTCCTTTAGCAAACTTAACTGGTCAGTTAGAAGCTCTCATTTAGCGTTTAATACCTCTAGGCCCCTGGTCGGCAAACTGCGGCTCGCGAGCCACATGCGGCTCTTTGGCCCCTTGAGTGTGGCTCTTCCACAAAATACCACGTGTGGGCACGCACGTACAGTGCAATTGAAACTTCGTGGCCCATGCGCAGAAGTCGGTATTTTGTGGAAGAGCCACACTCAAGGGGCCAAAGAGCCCCATGTGGCTCGCGAGTCGCAGTTTGCCGACCACTGCTCTAGGCCAACATCATTTACTGCTTTAAGAGGGTATTTATTTGCCAAAGAAGTATAACTGAGCTCTCTAACCACTCGGAAGTGTTCATCGTGATTCCTTGGTAAAATAAGATAGTTTCAGTAAAATAGTGGATATAATTTTCTTCAATAGATTTTCTCTTTCTTTTAGCTTAACGTTCTCCATACAGAGCTGGCTAAACAGTTGGCAGACACAATGGTTCTACCCATTGTACAATTTCGAGAAAAGGATCTCACAGGTAAAGTAACTGAATTCAGTGCCAGTTACCTTTAAAATATTACTTCATTTAATAGTAATTCGTACTGCATTAATTTCTTTAAATGCGTGGATTACTGAGAAATGCCCTTTCTTGTTGAGTAGCTCAGTTTAACTAACTTGCATTGAATCCCCACTGTGTTCTTGGCTCAGCTAAAGGAGGTCACAGGCTAATAAAACAGACTTGGAGTCAGACAATGGTAACATCATGTGATGAGGGCAGCAGGACAGAGACGTTCAAGGAATAGCAAGAGGGACAGAAAGACGTCATTGCCCTTTTGAGGACAGGGTGCCAGGGCAGGCTTCCTGGAGAAGGTGATCTCCTAGCAGGGCTTTCAGAGGTGAATTCGTGTTTACTGAGCACACAAGATAGCAAGGCTTGTATTACCGCCTGGAGCATTTGTGAAGGCACGCTATTCTTAGGGATGTAAGGTGGTGGGAGGCTTGGATATCATTTTTAACCATCTGTACGCCATAAGCGTCTATAGACGCAAGTGGCGGACCTTTTTAAATTAAATTCAAAATATCATGGCAGTTAACTGGTTAAAAGAAATGTTCTGGAAAGAAAATAATCATCCCCTAAGACCTGGGTTGCCTTTTGGTTTTGTTTTTTGGGAGGCAAACCTGGAATTGAGAGTGTCTGCCCACAGCTTTGGTGACAGTGGTCTCATGACTCCAGGAGAGCTAAACGTGGATTAGGAGTACTTACCCAGGATGGTGATTATTTTATTTTTAAGGAGAGTATCAATGAAAAAAGTTAAAGTGTCCTTTTCTGATGACACCAGGAAAAATTTGAAGTGTTGGTGCAGGTCATACTTGAGTCAGCATCAGAACCAGTATAGAATCTGGCGCCTCCCACCCCCCCACCCCCACACCCCCCATCCCTGATGGTGGTGTTTCATTTTGCTGCCTTACTCGTTTGCCCACCAATACAAGTACGGAATCTGGATGAAGGCCGCACAAGAAATATTAAGAAAGCTATTTAAATTGGTAAGGAAAAACATCACAGCTCTGCTCCAATAGGAAGAAAAAGGGAGAGAGAAAGAAGGGAAAATGCGAGAAAGTATCCTGATATCAAGAAATAATATGAAGAGAAATTGAAAAGCTGGAGGCAGTTTTGAAGTAAACTGAAAAGCAATGTAGATGATGTGAAAATGCTGGGCTTTGAGGAAGTAGAGATGGAGAGTGTTAAAATTGTAAAGCATCAATTTCGTTTAGGTGTCTGTGTTTTTAAGTGTTTAACCTTGGACTCCCATTGCTCTCATTGATCTTTTTGGGGGGTTTGTCTTGGACTTTGTTTAGCCACCTTTATATGTGCAGGGGTAGCGCCCACATGGGTGCCGGGGTCCAACCCCAGCAGGTCCAGGGGTCCCCAAAGGTGTGGACGGAGTCGGTGAAGAAGGAATGACATGGAGACAGCGTTCAGTTGATCAGCAGCCTAGCCAGGATCTCTAGCCAAGTTCTGGTCAGGATCTCCAGCGAAGTTCTGGTTAGGATCTCCAGCCAGGTTCTGTGTCCATGTTCTCTTGCCAGGTTCTCCAGCCAGGTTCTGTAGCCATGTTCCCTCGCTAGGTTCTTCAGCCAGGTTCTGTCCAGGTTCTCCAGCCAGGTTCAGTCACCAGGTTCTAGTCAGGTTCAGTCCAGGATCTTTTGCCATGTTCTCTCCAGCGAAGTTCTTCTGTCTGTAGGTTCTGTGTAGGTTCTGTCTTCTAAGTTCTGTGTGTAGGTTCTGTCTTCTTAGTTCTGACTTGTTACATCTGTATTTATACCAGTTGATTCCAGTCCTATCAATCTCTATTCCAAAGGTTAGGGCGTTTCTTATCTCCATTCCAGGGAGTAAAGATTATGTAGCTTAAGCATGATTGTTCATAGTTAAAGTGATTAATTACCTGCCTGGCACTTAGTTGAGAGGTTTTATTCCCTCCCTAACTTCAGGGGAAAATCCCTACCTGGGGAAACAACCTTTCTCAGAGACCTTGGTTAAAACACATAGTGCCAAGAAGGTGAGCAAACATATTAAGAACAGTATGCCATATATGCCAGGTCCCTTGAAACAGCAAGCATGGACCGGCTCCCGGCACATGGGGTAATGGTTATTGGGGTTGGCTTACTGAAAGTACAGTACACTGGATTGCTTAAGATATTTTTCGTTAAAACAGGCACCCCGTGTTCTTTTGTCAGGTTTTAAAATGGCAGTGACAGGAAATTTCTAGGGTTTGGTATAGTCAGGGCATTCTGAGGAGAGATGTCTGAGAACACAGTGGGGGCTGAAGAGGCGGAGCTTATACATACACTCCAGGTCTCCATGCATAGTCCCTGCCACCGTGCCCTCCACCTGGTCCTCGAGTGCCCCCTCCTTCATAGATCCTCACAGGCTGTCTGGAGAGAACTGCTCCATGCTCCATGGGCAGTCAGGGTCCCTGGGTGTGGGGTGCAACTGAAGCCACAAGCTCCAGTGAGACCAGGAGTCCCAGCCAGGCCAGGGCCCTGTGAGGGCCGAGGGCCTGAGGTGCTGGCAGCACCTTCCCGTCCTCATGGACGGCTTTCTTTCCTTGGGCAAGCACGCAGCTCTGGACCGGCTTGCTTTGTTTCTCTGCTCTAAGACATCTCTTTTCTCTTGTGCAGAAGTAAGCACGTTAAAGGATCTCTTCGGACTCGCCAGCACTGGTAGGCACCCTCCCCATTCTTGTGTGTGGGTTTAGTGAATCTGTGGGCAGAGACACTGAATGATTGTTCTTGCCTTTCAACCTGTCTGGGTGCTAACATGTCTCTTTACTTTTAGAGCATGACCTCTCAATGGCAAAATATAGCAGGCTTCCTAAGAAAAAGGAGAATGAAAAGGTGATAACACCTCCCTTACATGTTCTCACTTCTTATGTCGCTCCTTTTGTGTCTTCCCTTGTGAGTTAGTGGCATTGAGGGTATCTTGGTGAATTTCTTCTTTTTTCCTATACATAGATTTTTAAATTTTTTATTCTAAATCCCCTAAAGTAGATTTTTCACTTCCTAATTCTAGCTTTGAAAGTTAGTTTTCAAACATCAACTTGGGACCATTGTAAAATTATAGTCACACTATGATTTTAACGTAAGCTGGGCACCTCACGTGATTGAGTCATAGGCACTTGGGCACTTGTTGGCTCTGACTCTTTAACTCACTACTTACTGTAAATAATAATGGATATTTTCAGGCACGTACCTTTCATTTCTGTCACATGATTTCCTTAGAGCAGTCTCACAGGGGACCCAGAATGTGTGTGGCCTTAAGCGAATGGCCATGTTGTTTTCCTAACGAGTGTGGCGCTGGGAGAGCTACCAGAAGGGACTGGCTCCACCCAGTGCAGCCTCACAACATGGACATGCTATCCCTTTACTATTTTTAATTTGGATATTTAAAAACATGAGGTGGAACCTTATCTATGCTTCCTTCTCTTTGTTACAAAAGTGGTTCTCATGTAGAAATCAGCATGGTTTGGAGCTGCGTGCTCTTACGGAATTGCCACGGCCATTAGCCAAAGTGCCGTTTTCCTTTCACCTCTTAACCAGGTGAAGACGGAGGTGGTGAAGGAGGTGGCAGCTGCCCGGCGGAAACAGCACCTTTCGTCCCTTCAGTACTACTGCGCCCTCAACGCGCTGCAGTACAGGAAGCGCATGGCCATGATGGAGCCCATGGTGGGCTTCGCCCACGGACAGGTAGGCAGTCCTTCCCCTCAGGCGTAGGACCTACGCCAGCTGTGGAGGGCAGCGCGGCCTTCTGCTGAGGGAGCACAGGGGCCGCACAAGCAGCGTCAGAGGAGGAAACACGTGCACAGCCTCGCAGAAGCTCTCGGAAGCTCGGCACCTGGAGAGCTTGCGGTGGGCTGGACCGTCAGCTGGGCTTGGGCTGTACACGCAGGAAATGATGGCCTTGATCCCGTGGCTCCTGTGCGCAGGAGCTGGCATGGCCCTTGTCTCTGATCCAATGACAGGAGGCCGGGCCCGATTGTCTGAGAAGCAGCTGCCTGTGCAGGCTGCGGAGCCAGGCTCACCAGCTAGGACTCCGCTGGTCGGTGTGGTAGTCACCTCGGTGGGCTGTTCTGTGATGTGTGGCTGAGGCGAATGCCAGCACCTGGGCCGGTAGGACGTGGGGAAATGTTGCCAGTGATGGATGAAATCACTGCAGAGTGTTTGTGTGCAGGGAGGTCCCAGGTTCAGGATGGGGCCTTGACTGGCACCAGCCTGGCAGGGACAGGAGTGGTGGGAATGTGAGGCGAGTGGCACCAGCCTCGCCCGCCATCCCTGCCCTGCGTTAGCCCCACTTACATTGACTCCAGACTCACTCCAGCTTGTGAGAAACGCATCTGGGAACCTTCTCTGATCTAGGAACAGAAAGGGATGTGAGGAAGCAAAATGTTGAGAAGGAAAAGTCAGCAACTTAAAAACTTACGTGTGAGCACCTATTATTTTCATAATACATTGAAAAAATACATATTGTTTTTTATGTTAATCCTCACCCGAGGATATTTTTCCATTGATTTATAGAGAGAGGGGAAGAGAGGGGAAGAGAGAGAGAGACATCGATGTGAGACACATCAATTGGTTGCCTCCTGCACACATCCTGACCAGGGCTGGGATTGAGCCTGCAACCAAGGTATGTGCCCTTAACCAGAATCAAACCCGGGACCCTTCAGTCCACAGGCCATGCCTCTATCCACTGAGCCAAACTGGCTAGGGCTAAAAACACATACATTTTTTAAAAGCACATCACTTTCATTCAGGGAAAGGGGGAACAAGAGAAGATTTTTAAACATCCAAATTCAGTTGTCTGTCATCTGAATATGGTTATTACCTTGCTGAATAATGCAGACACTGAAGTCAGCTTATGCCCTTATGGTGATACTTAATAGAACAGTGTAATCTTTCGGTGTCATCTGAGTAAGCTAGGTTAAGCCAAAAACTAGCACTGCCCGGCTGTGGGCTGCAGCCCTCAGCAAATCCTTGGGTTGGGCGAGCTTCCTCACCATGGGCACTTGTGCCCACATGTGTGTCCTCTCTGTTGCCCCCTCTCTCCTTCCATCAAACATTGCACCTCTGCCCTGGTGGATATCCTGCTTGTTAGAGAATGCCAGTACCCTCTGCTCTCTACTTAACACCTGGGCACGAAGGGCGTGGGGAAATGTTGCCAGTGCTTGAGGAATCATCCTCCCTGGACTGACAGGCCTGGCCTTTGGAGCAGTAATCCCTGCCCATTAGAGCCCCAGGGTCAGGGAGTGTCTGGAACTTAGTCTCAGAAAGATGCACGGCTGCAACCTGGGACAGCCTTGGGAGCCTGGGTGGAGGAGGGTCCCTAAAAGAGCTAAAGGATGGGTTTTATCTGGTTGCTTTCACTCTTCATGGCTGAGAACCACCAGTTCCCCCAGCCTGGACCTTTGAAGCGAATGCTGCTGGCCACAGGGGGCGTGGGGTGGGAGGTAGAGGGACTATGGGCAGAGCAGCACGAATGCGGCCCATGCCTGGGAAAGCAGAACAGAGCACACTGTTGTTGGGGACTGAGGATGGCACATTTCATTTTTCAGATGAAAAGTGTCTAGATTTTAAGACACAAGACCAAATAGTCCCTCACCCTGCAGACTTTTTAATCCTGGTGAAATTGTAATTGTTTCTCTTGTCCAGGTTGTTGTCTAACCCCTGACTCTTTGAATAATTCTGAAGCAGCCCTTTTAAATCAGTGTTCGTTGAGCATCACCTTTGCTGGCTGCTGATCATTTGACCATTGCACTTCCCACTGCTCATGAAGGCGTGTGAACTTTGGTCTTTGGATGACTTTCCCCTGAATCAGACTTCTCACCACCACCCACCATAGTGGAGGTTGTTTGACTCCATTTCTGCCTTCCCTGGCCCCAGGCAAACAGGTTTTCAGTTAAGTCATGACTAGTCCTCCCTCCTGCAAACCAATTGAGGCGTTGTCAGCCTGTCCAGGTTTATGAGGGCACACAAATGAACTCCAACGTAGTATTTGCAGGATAAGCAGTATGTGACGAGGCTGTGGAAGCCAGTATCTCATCCCTGCCTTCCACCCATTCATCAGATTTTTGAGGGAATACGTGAGCCCTGCCCTGGGAGCTTAGAGGATAGTGGAGGGGCTCAGACATGGATTGGTGTGTGGAGTTGAGGGAGGGGTAGGTGAAGGAAAACCAGCATGAAGTTGTGCCCTTAGAAATGCTCATTCAGTGGACTTTGATATTTAACATTTCAAGGATTCAGAATGCTCATCTCTCTCTGATTCAGAGATCACAGGGCCAGAACCTCTCCCTGCGTGGATTACTTTGCATTAGGGTAATCCAATCATCATCTGTTTCTGTGCTGTGAGAACTAAGGACAGGTGTGTGCATACCTCCCCGGGCCTCAAGGCCGTGCCGATGACTCCTGCTAGTCTCCTTGGAGTGAGAGGTCAATGTCTGTGCTCACCACCCAGGCAGGGGCTGCTTCCGGATCAGACAGACCAGCTCTGTAACCTGAGCGGATACCCATGTCCAAGCTGAGTGTTCTCTTTCTCATGACAGAGGTTTGCAACCATTACTTCCCTACAGTCAGGGGTGCAAATGGAGCGGCTCGTACCATATTCAGACTTTTAAAGGCCCAGCCTTACAGAGAGACGGAAGCTTGAGCTTTTGGGGAGGGATGGTTGCTGATGTCAGTAAGGCACAGAGGTAGTCCTCTTCTCTTTCCCGTACCCCTGCCCTTCAGGGCTTGTCAGGGACCCCGGCCTTCTGGGAAGTGAATACCCAGGAATCACAGAAGCAAGGAATTCCTTCTGTTGTTTCCCAAAAAGCCAGCAATAGCAGTTTCATTTTCAAACTGTAGTCCTCAGGTCTTCCCTGGGCAGAGAGAGCACCCACTGTAGACATGGAGCACCATGCAGTGCCAGGGCCGCCTGCTTCCTTCACGTACACGTCCCCCTTCAGCTGATGTCGGGGTTGGATGAGCCTTCGGCCCAGCTTTCCCTCTGGAATTCCGCAGCCATGTCGCCGTGCAGCCTGTGCTCAGAGCTGCCCATGGCTCAGGGGGTGGGCCAGTCAGATGGCGGCCCTCGCCTCTCTGAGAACCTCCTGCTGCTTGTCTGTCTCTTGTTGGTGCTGTGCATGTCATTGTCACACCAATGTAGCCCCTACAGATGCAAAGGTGAAGAAGACCTAATCCTTGTCCTAGAAACCCACTATCTAGAATTCACACAGGAAAAAGGCTGACAGTATCAAAATTATCAGTAGTAATTACTGACACACCTGGTATATGCCAAGTGTTTCACTTACATGATTCCTGAGCTTTACAGACTTTTTACAGAATAGCAGGTTTCACCATCCCCTTTCTCCACACACACTCGGGGCTTTGGGAATAACTCTCAGCCGGTGGGGTGGGGCTCATGGAGATGCTGCCAGTGCTGCGGGCGAGGAGCCGGGCAGCCAGGGTCAGCCGCGCCCACGGTCAGTCTCACAGTCCATGAACTCAGCCATACACTTTCCTGAATAATTTTCAGAATATCGTAATTATATCTTTCAGATTAACTTTTTCAAGAAGGGAGCAGCGATGTTTTCCCAAAGTATGGACAACTTCTTATCCTCCGTGTCAGACATGGTTCAGAGGTAATGCTGCACTCCAGTTGGGGTCTTGGTGCTTTTGCTTTCTGCCAAATCAGCCTCTCCGGTGGGGGTGGGGGTAAGGGGCCCCCCGCAGCTGCTGTCACTCCCTGAACTCCCAGGAACAGTGCCTTCTTAACTCCCGACATTTGTGAATAGTGTGGTTAAAAGGAATGATTTCTGCATTTCCCAGCTTATGTGGACCCCGCAGTCCTATCCACTACATTTACAGATTATAAATCAATACAAGATTAAAGGATCCACAGGGGTACTTTCCTATTAAGTCAGAGTTCTTCAGATCTTCTTCTGTAACAATCAGGTTTCACGTGTCAGACGCCTCAGTCCGGTTTGGACTTGCTGTGGAGAGAGTGCCTTGTTCCTTTCTTGGAGAGCTAACTGGTTAGCAGCCAGAAGTGCTGCAACATTTTAGGAACTTCAGATCATCACACTAATGTATGATAAACAAGGCAGTAAGCCTTTTTGAATTAATTTAACAACCTGGAGTTCAGTCTTGCAATTGTTTTTTTTTTTTTAAAAAATGCATCATCTCTCCAGACAGCCCTGCCACCCTTAATGATGCTGTGGCCGCTCTCATTCCCTTTACCTCCTGTTGTCAGCGCCTGTGATGGTGAGCTCAGTGGAGGCTCCAGGCACCCCCAGCACCGGGCTTATTTCATTCAGAAGTCAGACATATGGCTCCTTGTGTGCTTTTCATGATTTCTGGGGTATAGAAATATGTCTGTCTTGTTGGTGCACATGAGTATTTCTCTGGGGAGAAAATTATTACCTTCATCGGGTCCTTAGAGTTTTATCACCCACAAAAGCGTAAGAAACTAGGTGTTTTTGTAAAGCTTTGGCTCCCTCCCACCTTCCTTCTCTTGCACTGCTGCTTTTCCCGCATATTCCATTCTCCTAGCCTTGGCAGTGACAAGCAGGGGTAGCTAATGAGGGTTGTTCTCCAGCTGGCGTGGCCCCAGGCCATCAGCCATGGAGTCCCGTCATTTCATTCAAATGTCAGAGTAGCCAGCCCTCCCCTGGAAGGCGGCTTGCACCCAGCTGCTGCGTTAAACACGGTGCAGGCGGCGGACCTGGGATCTCCTACAGCAGAGTATGAGCGTGCAAGCCCAAACTTCCTTCACTGCAGACCCTTTGAGAGAACATCCTGAGGAACTCACTTGTGAAACACCAGGCAGCTGGCCCCCAAGGTTCCCTCTATTTTAACATCTGTGATTCTGTCTTACCTCCTTCCACACGGTGGAGAAGTGGAACACGCCTCTAAAGTTTGCTTTCTCCGATGGATGGGCCCTGTTCAGGCCTTTGTAGCCCATCCTGTCACCACCGGGTGGGGCAGGCATGTGGCTGTCTATCTTAGAAGGAAGAGCATTGCCCTGGCTTTGCTGGTGCACCTTGGTACTACTCCTGGTCAGTTTCCCCTCTCCAGTGGCCATCTCCCGGCTCTTGCCTAAACCAAAGTGAGCGGGAATGACTGCTGTCCTCGCCTTTCCGGCCCTTTCACAGGAAGCCTGCATGTGCCTCCCCTAAGAATGGGCTCATTGAAGCTTTTCTCCTAACATTTGTATCAGCAGTTCTGAGCATGACACCTTTGCCAGCAGAGGAACTGTTTAGCTGGGTTCAGGCGTTGTCCAGTGGGACCCCTGTGTTATTTTAAAACAGCAGTCATGTGAGCACAGAATAATGCATCCCGGAGTGTCTAAGCTCCGGCTTCCAGGCCTAAGAGAGAGGTGGAGAGCTGCGGCTCTGCCATCTGATGCCCAGCGCTGAGTGGCTGACCGGACGGACACCTTCTGTCTTAAGCATTCAGGTGGAACTGGAAGCCGAAGCAGAAAAGATGAGGGTGTCCCAGCAAGAGCTGCTTTCTGTGGACGAATCTGTTTACTCGCCAGACTTCGATGTAGCTGCACCACCGATCAACAGGAACCTCATCCAGAAGGCCGGTTACCTTAACCTTCGAAGGTGAGGATGCCGTTGCCCGCCCCGCAGTGGCTGAAGGGCTGAGTGCCCCATGAGAGAGTGGGGGGAACTCCCACTACAGCACCCCTCCTGCCTGGGACGTAGGAACAGTCGTATGAGTAAGAACCCAGCTGTGGACTCCAAGACACCACAGGCCACCCCTGTTCCTGGTCATCATGGCCGTTGGTGGGGACACGGTTGCCTCATCCATAAAATAGAATTGATAACTGCACCTACATTATAAAGTTGCTACAAGGGGTGAATAAGGTTGTTTTTAGCAGGCAGTAAGCACTCAAATGATAGCTATGACCCTCTTTGAAAATTATAATTATTGGGGCAGGAAACCTAGTGCCTCACACATAGTCACTGCTCAGTAAACACTGCATCGGGTTGTGCATTTAATCCCCCGCCTTGGAGGGTCTGTGCAGAGGAACCGTCAGTGGTTTTCTTACTGGGAAGAGCCCCTCAAAGGTTTGTAAGCTTCTTGATCACAGGCCAAGTGATAGAAAACTCCACGAGGTCCTGGTGTTCTTTGCCAGGAACTGGATTTTCCTCTTGTAAACAGCCCACAAAACAAGAATAACATCCAGTTGGAACAAAACTGAATCTTGTGAAAGCCCCCGAGATTCTTATACCAGAGGTGACCCTGGTGACTAAGTAGCTATTGAGCAGTGCAGCTCCATGTCTTAGAGAAGTGACCTTCCAGGTTTCAGTTCCAATGGTGACGGACTAATTCTGTTCTCTGGCTGAGGGGCAGGCGCACCGCTCACTTCTTAGAGTCGGCCCTGGGACTGGCATCCCGGGTGAGCTGGCCCACAATCTCCCAGATCCTCCAAGCTCAGTTGCACATCTCTGCTGCTCTTTGCACTTTAATTATTTCCAAAGCAGTTTTGCTTTAAAGAACACATTGTAAAATGTGACTGATCGCCACAAAGGGCAGCAGAACTTTAGGTGCCACTCATGTTTCCTAATACTAATGGGCTTGCACACAATCCTTGTAGTAAAACAGGACTGGTCACCACCTCCTGGGAGCGGCTTTACTTCTTCACCCAAGGCGGGAACCTCATGTGCCAGCCCAGGGGAGCCGTGGCTGGCGGCTTGATCCAGGACCTGGACAACTGCTCCGTGATGGCGGTGGATTGTGAAGACCGGCGCTACTGCTTCCAGATCACCACCCCCAATGGGAAATCGTATGTCACGTGGGTTTTACGTGGGTGGAGAACCAGTGTAGTGACCGCACCCCTGCCCAGGGCCTCCTGGCTCATTCCTCCAGGGGAGCGGCTGTCTGGGCAGCGTGGCCCTTGGGAGGGTGGTTCTGTGTTCTTTAGGCACATGACCCATATGGGACCCAACCTGCCTTACACAAGGAGTGCCGGTGAGGATTGTCTGTGCTTAGATAAGAGATGACTGACGTGTAAGAGTGACAAAGGTGGCTGTGTGTCAGCACAGGTTCTGTTCTCACAGAAGGCTGTGGCTAGGCCTCACCGCTCCTTAGACAAGCATTTGTGTTGGTATTGGTGGGAGGCGGGGACGAGGAGGAGGCAGGAAGGAAGACCTGCTTGAGGAGTCGATGTTTCCAGCTAAAACGTGAACAGGACGTTCAGCTGCGGGAGGGTCACTCCTCAGCATGCTGTCCCCATCCATCCCGGGCCCCGAGGTCCTCCTTTCCCGATGGCCGCCTGTAGTCGTTCACGTAGACCCCATCCCAGTGGGAGCCCTCACTTAGAGCAGGGCTGGCGGTGCTCCAAGGGATGCAGAGCCCCAGGGGGTAGGAGGTGGGCAGTGCTCTGGGTTCCCCTGCCTGGCGGGGAGGGTGGCCCTTCCTTGTCAGAGCTGCCCTGCTGGCATTGGCTCTGCTGGGGTTGCGAGTTGAGATTTTATCTGAACTCTGGCATCGGGAGGGTGGGCAGTGTTGGTAGTGTTGACCGGTTCCTCTCCCAGCCTGGCAGGGCATCTTCCTTCCTCCCTGAGTGAAATAAAGTGCAGAAATGAGCTGGGAATGAAGATGCCCGGATTCTAGTCATGCTCCTAGAGTAGACAGTCACTTAGTCCTCTGGCCTCAGTTTCTCAGATGTGAAATGGGGATGAGGTCCCTGTTCCCCGTCTCCCATAGATGAGATGGGGACAAAGGAACTGGATGTGGAGCCCTTCAGAGTTAAACCCCCACCAAGGCTGAGCAGTAGTACTTGTCTGTATTCCCAGCCCTCCTTATGCAGGCTTTTCCGTTCTTGGGGAGGAGTGGAGTGGCTGCTGTTCCTTCTTTGGGTGTGGTTGGGAGGGGTGGCTGGTGGCCTGGGATCTCTAAGCGGGGCCAGAGGATGGTCCGCACTGTGAGAATCACAGGCTTGGGCCAGTGGCTCTGAGCCCAGCCTGCTCAGTTTACAGATGAGAAAGCCAAGGCCCAGGGAAGCGTTTGTTTGTCCAGATGACAGCCAGACCCAGAAACCCATTCTCTCTCCTTCCCACTTTGCTGCCTTCCTGCCCTTTCCCCTCGGGGCCCCAGTGGAGTTCAGTTTTGTGGAATAATGGTCAGTCCCTGCCATCTGGGAAGCACTTACTTGGATGCACTTTATTTCAGGGGAATAATCCTCCAGGCAGAAAGCAGAAAGGAGAATGAAGAGGTAAAGATTTTGTTTGTTTCACTTCCTTCTCAATGTAGTGGGGGACTCCGGGATTCAGCAGGTTTTTTAATGTCCTCCACAGTGGATATGTGCGATCAACAACATCTCCAGGCAGATCTACCTGACTGACAACCCCGAGGTAATGACCAGCCGCTTGCCCTGCACCTCACCCTTTAATTAGCCTGAAAGGTAAGCGGCTGCCTCCCGGGACTGAGCCTGTCTCCCTGTGGATTTTTAGGCAGTCGCCATCAAGTTGAATGAGACGGCTCTCCAAGCAGTGACTCCCATTACAAGTTTTAGAAAAAAGCAAGAAAGCTCCTGCCCCAGGTAACTAACGGACAAAGGAAAGCTAGCTTTTGTGGAGCCGAATTAGGAACTTGACAGAAGTTATTTCATCCTCACAAGCCCCCGGGTAGTGTCCTGCAAAAGCAGTAACCGGTCAGGAAGGTTCCCGTGTGCACAGCACAGGTGAGGGCAGAGCTGGGATTCAGACCTGCCTGCAGTCGTCCAGCCTTCCCCTGGCCCGCGCTGCCCGAGCACACAGGACTCGCCCGAGGGCCCTGCTGGTCGGGAGGTCCCCCCGCATGTTCTAGCAGCATCAGCAAAGTTAAGGAACCAGAACACACAGTGGAGCAGAGCTGAAGGCTTGGAGAACAGGGGTGGCATAGTCAGAACCAGGGTAGCTCAGGAGGCACAAGACTGTCCCTGTGACTTACTGAGAACCACAGGAGTGCAGAGGGAGAGCGTCAGCCTGGCTTGAAAGGTCTAATGAATGACTAGGAATTTGAGCTGGTGTTTGAAGTACAAGAGGGTTGGGTGAGCAGCGTAATAGGGATGGAGACAGAGAGGAAGAGCATATGGTGTGCTTGCTGTAACTGGGGGGGGGCGCGGGGCACGCATTAAGGGAGTGGAGAAGGAGGCTCCGGGAGAAATGAGAGCCAGGTTGTGGTTGAATGCTAGGCCAAGAAATATTATTCATTCCGTTAACATTTCTGACTACTACTAGGTACCAAGTAATAAATATTATTTAGCTATAACCCCTGCCCTCAAAGTCTGTCTCCCAGGGAGACAGATGCCAACAGGAAACCAGTTGTAATGCGATGAGCAGGACAGCAGTGCAGAACGCTCTGCAGCAGAGCCACCTGTAGGTAGTGGCGAGATCTGAAGGATTTCAGCCAAGAAATGAAGTTTTCCAGAGAATACTTGTAGAATGGTGTGAAGGCCTGACGGAAGTCTCCATCAGCATTCAACACTATTCACTGGATTGTAAAGGCGTAAGATTAAAAGGGATTTGTTTTACCCCTCCTCTCTCCTATACTCCAGCCAGAACCTGGAAAATTCAGAGGTGAAAAATGACAACACTGTTCCCAAAGCAGCAGTCAGTGTACCTGAAGCTGAAGAACTAATTGCGCCTGGAACACCCATTCAGTTCGATATCGTACTTCCTGCGACAGAATTCCTTGATCAGAACAGAGGGAGCAGGTATGTGCTGCGGGAGGCCTCTGGGAGAAATGAACGTAAATTTGGCCCCTCCAGAGGCTGTTGCCATTCTGCCTTAGAGCTTAGTGCTAAGTGTCCCAGCACTGACCTGAAGTGACTCTGACTCTGGCTCCCCCCAGGCGGATGAACCCTTTTGGTGAGACTGAGGATGACGCATTCCCAGAGGCAGAAGGTACGTGGTGCGTTTGTGTGCTCACTCTCTCCTCTGCACAGTGGCCAGGGCCACTGAAACAAGATGTGACATCATGTTCTAGAGAGTGGGGACTTGAAATATTCATTGTTCTCTGAGAACTCATTAGGACTTGGGTACAAACTGACGGGAAGCTGTTGCACCGCTAGCCACATTCATACCTTCCGCACTCCTGCATTGAAAGTTGCCAAAACTAAATTTGGTGTCAATTACAAAAACAAATTCAGAAGATAAAATGATCGCCTAAAAATGCAGCCTGAGTCACAAGTGTGCTATTTCATTTCAGAAAACCAAAACCACAAATCATTCCTTCCTGAATTTTAAGATCACATGAATGTTATTGGTTTAAATTCATATCTTGTTGGTTTACATCCCGATGTACATCAGAACATACTCAGTTGAGCTGACCATAACCTGCTCCACAGAGAGGACTCGAGTTCCCAGCCAAGGCAACTGAGTAGCTAGAAGAGCTGGAAAGACCTCTTTGAAACCCAGCGGCAGGACTGGAGCCTGAGAACACCATCAGAATGAAGTGCCACTTACTTACATGTAAAAGGAGGACTTGAGAATTGGCACTTCTTAACCCTTTAGGCAAAAAAAAAAAATGTTGCCTCAGACCTCTTCTCCATTTATGTCTGACTTTTAATGCAGTCCAGTTTGTGAACAAGTTTTCAAACATGTAAAAACGCTTCATATGGGAGTAACCATTTCAGTTATATTTTCCTAGGTTATTTTTAGGGGCTAGGATACTAATGGGAGGGCAACTAGGCAAAAAGACTTATTTTAAAGTGGTAGGTAAATGAATTATTCTGACAGAAAAAAAGAGCTTTTAAACTGTCTTCATGGTCTGCCAGTTACTTGCCGTCATTGAGTTTTGTCAGGTGATACACTGTCATCAGAAAGCCAGTACTGGAAGTTCAGGGACTCAAATAAGCACACTTAGTTTGCGATCTCCATTCGTTTGTGGAACATATCACTGCCCTTCAATCACAAATGAGTAAGACCCAACGTCAGGTCTTATTTTCTTCAAATAAGTTTTCTTTTATAAGAGGATTTAATCCATAGGCCAATCCATAGGCCACTGTTGTCCAGTGGAAAAAGCCTTTTTTCAGAGAAAAGATATGGTGCATATACTGCCACCTTCGTGTACTCACCTAGGTTTGGTGCAGGAGGCTGTTTACCTGGTGCCATGGTCTTACCAGGTAGCAGGGCTTTTCTAGTATAAGGAAGTAGTTCCAGACAGACAAAGCATAGACAACAGGAAGGAGATTCAGAGCTTCGGCAGTGTGCGTGGGGCTTGTAAAAGCAGCGTATTCAGAGATTTGGGTGGAAAGCCCTCCATAGAAAGCAGACCAGTCCTGAGGTCTGGCAGCTGCGCTCAGACCAGCAGCCCTGGTGCTGGGTGCAGGTAAGCAGGCAGGACATGAGTGTGACCCTGAGCAGAAAATGCTCTCTTGCAGATTCTCTTTTGCAACAGATGTTTATAGTTCGGTTTTTGGGATCGATGGCAGTTAAAACAGACGACACTACCGAAGTGATTTATGAGGCGATGAGACAAGTGTTGGCGGCCCGGGCTATTCATAACATCTTCCGTATGACAGAATCCCATCTGATGGTCACCAGTCAGATGCTGAGGTACATGCGGTTTCACTCTGACTTTCTTATAGCTTCCTCAGTCCCCTCTGAAGGCATGTTCCCCCACCTGCAGCTCATAACTAGAGCATTTGGTTGGATTAAGTGTCCATTTCGATTCTGTAAGATGTACTGGGTAGAAGATGCTCCCTTAATGATAATCTAGGAATTTAGTGGTGGGTGAATCCTGTTGTTTATAAGATGGCCATCATTTTAGAGTTACTCTCTACATCTCAGAACTTGAAAATGGAAGGTGGGTTGTTTTGTTTTTGTCATTTCTGAGAATACTATTTGTAAATAACAACAATGAATATAGGACATAAAACTGCCTGAGATAACTAGACCACCACAAGAAAATCTGCTCAGTATTTGTTGGACTGAAAATAAAGAAATTAAACTACCTGGTTTGGGGGCTCAGGCAATAAGGTCTTTATGAACATGGCAAACGATAGTCAGGACATGGTTAACTGTAACAGAGGCTTCAGGAGCTGCGCTGTCCAGTTCTGTAGCTACAGGCAGCCAGTCTGAACTGAGGTGTGTTGTCAGTGTAAAAACAGGATATAGCAAATCTCTAAGATCTCGTCCTGACCCCGAGAAAGAATACAAAACATCTCATTAATTTAATATTTTAGATTAAATAATGTAAATGGGTGCTAGAAAAATGTATGTATGAGGTTTACATTCTATTTCTATAGGACAGCAGCATTGCATTACAGCCAGAATGGCTAGGCTTATTTCTGGCATTGGCATTTACTAGTTGTATGACCTTGGGCAAGTTATTTAATCCCTGTGCCTTGGTTTCTTCAGCTGTATCTACACCTCCTAGTGTTGTCATGAGGAATAAATATGAAACATTTACAACTGCAACTGGCACACAGAAACTGCTCAATAAATGTTAGCTTCAAAAAAATGAACTAGGTGTTGGCAAAAATCAGTCCTTTTCCTTTGTTATAAACCTTGTAAGAATTGGCTTCTTAAGAATAAAACTTATATTGACAGCTTTTCTCCAAGTATGTCCTGGATCTTTTATAGGCATTGGTTCATTGTTCTTATAATTTCCACACAAAAAATCAGAGCAAATATATATAAAAACACTGAGAAACTATACTGCATCAAAGAACACTATTAAAAAAGTACAGAGACAGCCCCACAAACTCTTCTAAGTTTATCCAACGTTTGTGACGTAATGTATCTGTTAACATTTCAGGTTAATAGATCCTCAGACTCAAGTATCCAGAGCCAATGTGAGTATCCTCACACTTGCCAATTTTAGTGATTACTTCTATTCATCTTTGTAACTACCTTAAACACAAGTTAAATGACTGCCACTAATAGTGCACTTTTTAATGACTTTTTCCATGGAGGATGACATTGTCTGTTGTTTAGTTCCAGTTTGTGGTGTGATATTCAGTCTATCCTTTCTTTTTCCAGTTTGAGCTCACCAGTGTCACCCAGTTCGCTGCTCATCAAGAAAACAAGAGACTGGTTGGCTTTGTGGTCCGCTTGCCTGAATCCACAGGCGGAGAGTCTCTGAGCACATATGTTTTTGAAAGCAACTCAGAAGGCGAAAAGGTCTTATTTTTTTCATCTTAAGATTCCATAAGATCTAAGTATAAAAGGAAGATATTTAAAGGGTGTTTTTTACACCACTGCCTGGATAGTTAGTTGATTATTCTGCAAGTCCCCATTGAGTTTAGATAATACCTCCTAGGAAGGCCCCACTGAAAACTGCCTGGAAGTAAAATTTCCCTGGGGTAAATACGTATTAACCAAAATAGACTGAATACAGAAGAACTTTAATGCTGAGTAATAATTGTTTAGTAGACCTACCAGTAATTGTTAAAAGCGGTTCCACTCAAAGCAGAAGTTACAATCTAGTCTCAGAGAGCAAACCAAGGGAGCAGACATCAAGAAAGTACATCTAAACTGTTCTCTTGTTTAGTAGAAAAACTTTGTGACTGCATTCGCTACTTAGAATTAATCAAATTTAACCAGTCCTTTTAGCAAGTGCCTGTTTGCCACTATATGTGTGAGCATGCAGTGGCTAATGTGGCCAAAAGAAAAAGGGAACAGCATCCTGTTAAGAATTTCAAACGCTGGAGTAATTTCAAGTTCCACTGGCTGGGTATTTTTTGTATGCACAGATTGGCAACAGGAGACCAGGGACAGTAGACACTCATGTTGACATGAGTAGACAGTGACCTCATTGTACTTCTATAATCACATTCCCCTCCCCCCCCCAAAAAAATTCTTTATCCTTTTCTACCTTTGTCAAACACCACTTTTCTTGTTTTGCAGATATGTTATGCTATTAATTTGGGAAAAGAAATCAATGCGGTTCAGAAGGTAAGGTCCACTTTAGTGCTTGTTTAGCAGCTACTCAAAAGATACCTACCTATACATGTCAGGGTGTCTCTCCAAACGGGAAATGATGCTCACTTGGCAGTGTGGTCAAGTTTGGGATTTCCTTTTTATGCATTCTAACCACATTCTTAATCAGTTCCACATTCATTGGCATCACTTCTGTAGCTCTTGCTTTACTTATTTGTTGCTTGCTGCTGTTGCCTAGATTTCCTGTCTTTCAAAGTAGGATGACACAAGCTTAAGCATCTATCATGTGCTCTTAAGCCTTGTTCCTTAGTCGTCCCAGGCCGGCAGCACTGACACACATCATTCAGAGACTTACTAGAAATGAAGATTCAGACCTCCCTGTCTTACAGTCTCATTCACCCAGCAAGTTAAGAGCCCCATTTATAAGAAGAAAAACCCTGGAATTAGAGCAGTGAGCAAGACTGATCAGTTCCAGCACCGGAGGGCTTCTATGAGTTACTGTCCAGGAGAACTTTCTGCAGTAATGGAAAACATGCAGCTTGAATGTGGCTAGTGTGACTGAGGAACTGGATTTGTAAATTTTATTTAAATACTAACGTAGCTAGTGAATACCGTATTACTATGGTTCTAGTCTACAGGGAGGGCAGAAGGACCAAGGACTGAGACTGATGTACATGAAATGACAAGCACTGCAAGTTAGTATTTTATGGTCTAGACCGGATGTTGGCAGACCTTTTTTGTAAAGGGCCAGATAGTAAACCTTTTGGGCTTACTATCTGTCTCAATGACCTCAACTCTGCTGTTTAACACAAATGCTTCCAGAGATAGAAAGGAATGAATGGGCATGACTGTGTTCCAAAAAAATGTTTACAAAAACAAGCCAGATGGCCATAGCTTGCAAACTCTTAGTGTAGATTAAAAGAGAGAAAACAGTGAAGAGACAGAAGACAAAGATATGTTGTGAGGGAAGTCCTCTTTGGACTCTTTCTGGGAAGATTATTATGACTTGGCTATGGAGTGATATTTTTGGCTGAGAGGAAAACCAAGATCTACTAGATTCTAGGAATAATGCAATTGAGTTTTTTTCAGAGAAGCAAGGAAACCCACCTGAAGGCACACACATAGGCAAGTAAGAAGGAATAAAGCTAGACTACAGAACATGAAGCCAAGCCAAAGGGGTGTTAAGTGCATTTTAAGTGTTTTCTTTTCTCCTTCTTAAACTCCCATAACTTCAGGATCCAGAAGCATTGGCTCAATTAATGCTGTCCGTACCACTAACCAATGATGGAAAATATGTACTATTAAACGATCAACCAGAGGACAATGATGGAAGTCCACGCGAAAATACAGGCGCAGAATCTGAAGCATAACTCATGCGCTTTTGGGGGAAGAGCACCCAAGGAGAGCTACCTCCTTAAGGGTTTTCAACTTCTCTGATACACAGGCACACGAACTGATTTCAGAAAGCTGACAATCGCTTGTGGAATGGACTCTCGATGCCTTGGTACTGAGACTTGGGAGGGAAACAGTAAGAAATGGTTGACAACAGTCCTACCCATCTACAAATGTTATTTTAGGTGCTTTGTGGTAAGTCCTTTTCTTAGATTATTATTCAGTGCTCAGATTGAAAGTTATGAGAAAATGCATCGTTCACTTTATTTGAATGTCATCTTTTTTCAGTTTCCAGTATCCTTTTTTAAAAATGGCAAAAGCCTAGATTTATAATTAAACACTAAATATTTCCTATTAATATACTCTATTTTTGTATTTTACTTAATAAGCTTTAAGTGCCTGTCATCCTGAAAATTGTATTTATAATCAAGCTTGTCTCATAATTGGACCTAATAAGCATTAATCTGTGCAGTTAGGTGCCGAGCCCTGCTCTGAGGCTCGAGCACTAGCAGCAATGCAGGTCTAGTTCTGATCATTGTTCCAGGCATCATGCAATAAAAACTAGCAGATGAGAACCACAAAAGATACTCAGTTTTACAGTGGATCCTTACTGAACCAGCATTCAGAAGTTTACGATCCTTTAGATGTTACTGTTTTTATTGGTGGATCACCATGTGAACAGCTCTGCCAGGTCCTGTTTCTTCTGAGCCAGACCCTCCTCAAGGAAGGGGCCAATTAATTTTAAAACTCACTTGAAGAGCAGTTGGTTTAAAGTTCCTATTTCCACTCTGGCATCCCAGCCCACTCCACCATTCCCTCCTACCCATGAAATAAGTATAAAATGATCTTGAATTGGTATAGTGTGTTTAATTATAACCAAGTTCAACAGAATGTTATTGTCTTTGTAATAAATTAACCTAGCAATAAATGCTAGCAAATAAATCTATTGTTCTGTTTCTTTTGCTTTTTGTGGTTATTTTCTAGAACATCCCTGGAAGAAAACTAAAGTTGGTTTTATAGCTTTAACAGTTTTATTTGCAAAAACTAGGGCAGAATGAAATCACAGCAGCGAGGATGACTATCAAAAAATACATATATTCAACCTGAGTAGAGTAATGGGATCTCAATGCCAAGTTTTTAACAGGTGTTGCTTTTAAAATGATGGGTTAATAAAATAATTTTTGCAACCCCAAATTAAGTTAATGTTACATAGGATCCATCTGAGGAATACACTGTGTACCATCAGAGACATAGTGGGTTGGTCCAAGTCAGTATGAAATTACACACTAATGCCTTACAACATACATATCATAATGATGTCAGGTCAGAAGTTCTCTAACAGGCCGCAAGAGCCACAGTCCTCTGAATTTCTTTTTCTTGCTTAGAACCGTTCAAGTGGGAGGGGAAGAATCTCAAGTCATGAACAATGCTAGAAACTAAAATCAAGCTTTAAAGAAAATTTTTTGTTTAAAGAAAGAATGGCTTAACAAAGCCACAAAGCATGCAAATCCTAAGAAAAGCATGAAGACTGAAATTCAGTACAGTAAGACTAATCACAAAAACACCAGAGAGAATGAAAACAAAAAATTAACTGAGCTTATTAGCAAGCATGACCCACAAAACATTTAGTATTCAGAATACACAATTGGGATAGGGCAGTTTCTTCAATAAACGATCTTGGGAAAACTGGACCACTATTGTATACCACACACAAAAATTAAGTCAAAATCAAGACTATAAAATCTGAAATCATAAAACTCCTAGAAGAAAAACAGAATAAGCTCCTTGACATAGGTCTTGGTGGTGATTTTTTAAAATCTGACACCAAAGCAAAAATAAACGAGAGAGACTGACTACAGATTTTGCACAGCAAAGAAAATCAACAAAATGAAAAGACAACCTACTGAATGGGAGAAAATATTTGCAAATCTTATCTGATTAAGGCGCTAATACCCAAAACACATAAAGAATTCATACAACTCAGCAGAACACTCTGGTTAAAAATGGGCCACAGATACATGAAAAGATGCTCTACATTATTAATCATCAGGGAAATGCAAATCAAAACCACATTTCACAACTGTTAGAATAGCTATCATCCAGAAGGAAAAAAAAGCACTGGTGAGAATGTGGAGACAAGTGTTATCGGAGGGAATGTAAATTGGTGTAGCCACTATGGAAAACCGTATGGAAGTGCCTCAAAAAAAAAAAAAAAAAAAAAAAATAGAACTACCAAAAAATCCAATTCCACTCCTGGGTGTTCATCTGAAAAAATAAATAAATAAATACTAACTTGAAAACATCTGCACCCCCATGTTCACTGAGGCATTATTTACAATAGCCAAGATATGGAAACAACCTAAATGTCCATCGATGGATAAATGGATTGACAAACTGGTATACCTCTACAAGAGAATAGTCTCCAGCCATTAAAAAATTAAAAAATGAAGTCTTGCCATTTCCAACAACATGGATCTCGAAGGCATTATGCTAGGTGAAATAAATCAGAGAAAAACAAATACTGTATAATCTCTCATGTGGAATCAAAAAAATAGGTAAAAATGAAAGCTCATAGATACAGATTGATGGTTACAGTGGGAAGGGGGAGTAATGGGTGAACTTTCTGGTTTCACTTACATAAGTTGAGTTTTAAAATCTGATTCATTAATGTTTTCCCCTCATTTTAAGGATGAGAGCATTGCTATAGAACAGTGATGGCGAACCTATGACACGTGTGCCAGAGGTGACACGCAAACTCTTTTTTGGTTGATTTTTCTTTGTTAAATAGCATTTAAATATATAAAATAAATATCAAAAATATAAATCTTTGTTTTACTATGGTTGCAAATATCAAAAAATTTCTACATGTGACACGGCACCAGAGTTAAGTTAGGGTTTTTCAAAATGCTGACACGCCGAGCTCAAAAGGTTCGCCATCACTGCTATAGAATGTTTCATTACACACAGATCTTACATATGTGTTCTAGAATGTATAATCCTTGAAGATGATCCCAGAATTAAGACATCAGATAGATACTGATTGAAAAATAAATTTCATCTACTCTCCTGAGTATGTCATGTCTCCACTAATGGGAACTGGAGCTATCAAGTAAACCAGGTAGTGAAGAGCCAAACTATTAAAATAGAAGAAAAAATTTATAAACTTGTCCATATAGACTTATTACACTACATATAAGAACTTACCATATGAACAACTCCAACTTTGCCATCACCATCTCTCAGTTCACAGTCCTATGACTTCACTTAATCTCTACAGATTTCCCACTTATTCTGGATTTTGTTTTTAACTGAAATCTTTGGCAACCTGTTAAACTGTTCCTAACATCTAAAAACCTTTGTGAGTTTTTTTTTTACTGTAGCATTAAAACTTTCTTAAGAAATGGAATACCGTCAATCTAAGACTTATTCAACTTTAGCTGGGAAAAGAACTAAAATTATTAAACCTGGTTAAAGTCTACCTTTTAACACTTAGCCAACCCAGCATAAAAGAGAAACATGATGATGTATGTGATGGCATTATCTCATCTTTCTCACAATCTTAAAAATGTAATACCTCAGAAAAGGAACATCAATCAGACTTCACTGAGGACAATTTCTGCTGTTATTTAAAAGGCTCTTGTCTCATCTCCAGCATAATATTTAAAAGGCACTCATTGCTCAGACGGTTGGAGCATAGTCCCGTACACCAAAAGGTTGCGGGTTCGATCCCGTCTTTGATTCCTGGTCAGGGGAGTACAGGAGGCAATCAATTGATGTTTCTCTCTCACATCAATGTTTGTTTTTTTCTCTCTCCCCCTTCCTCTCTCCTTTAAAAATCAATGAAAACATATCCTCAGGTGAGGATTAAAATAAAATAAAAGGCACTCAATTATTGTTTTAGTTTGATTCATGTTTGCAAATGGCATCTCAGTTATTTCTAACATTAAACACTGCAAACTAATGATCCCTTCCCAGGATTAGGATTTTAAGTTAATCATGCAGGTTCTTTTTATATGAAAATAGCAAGCAACAGAAAGATCAAGAAGGTACAAAGGAAAGAAAAAAATAGTCTTCATTTGGGATGCACAGAGAGGAGCCAACAATAATCATACTTCAAATTCCGTGCCTATGTGCATGCAAGTATTTTTTTAAAGGTAGAGTCCATGTACTTTATTAGATTAAAGGGACTCTAAAAAGGTTAATGTTATATATTGTTTTAAGGTATTTAATTTTGAGGGGGAAAAAAGATTTTTAATTTTGGCCTGGCTGGCATGACTCAGTGGTTGAGGGTCAATTCCCGATCAGGGCACGTGCCCTGATTGCAGGCTTGATCCCCAGGGTGGGGCATGCATGAGGCAGCTGATCAATGATTCTCTATCATCATTGATGTTTCTATCTCTCTCGTCCCTTCCTTCCTCTCTGAAATCAATAAAAAATGTATTTTAAAAAATTATACCTATTAAGATATTTAATTTTGAACATAAACATCCAGGGGAAGTACATTTTTGAAATTACATTTATTGTTTTATTATACATATTGTATTCTATTAGAACTGAGGAAAGGGGTGGCCCCACTCCAGTAACAAACTTGCCATCTTTTACAAAATTTAATTAGAACTGACAGTGTTATGGTTAGCATTTAATTCCTGAGATTTTGAACATTATTGTTTTCTGTGAATTTACAACAAATGCTCACACTAATTTTAAATTACAGTATGTCTGGAAAAAATGAAAATAGCACTAATATGTTAGCAAGGAAAACAATCATCCAAATATGTATATTAACTTAGGCATGAAATTCAAGCCCTGTTAACTCAGCACTTTAATAACATTTAAATATACGTAATCTTTTCAGAGATTTTATTTCAACTATGTGAACTTACTATAATTTATCCAGACTGTAGTGACAGTATTTTGACTAAAGGCAAAATAATAACCTATCACTTCTCAACTGCCAGTACCCATACAGTCAGCATGTGAATTCTATCTAGGATGGATAAAAAACTGACGTGTGGGGATAATGCACAAAGACACCTGATTCTCTTGTAATTACATTTTCTATCCCTTTTATATGAGATGATTTTAGGGAAGTTAGAGAAAAAAAAACCAGAAAAGCAATACTTTGCTACGAAATGGTGACTAATTTGATAGAATCCAATGCAAGATCATTCATATAAACATTTACAACAATGAAAATATAAATTATTATGCAGCATGCTTTAGGGCCACTTCTACAGTTAGAATGAATTACAAATATTAAATGCCTTTAGTCCATTCTCTGTCCATAATTCGGTAAGTCACGTTTACACAGTTAAAAAATATATATTTCCTACCTATTCGTTTCTTCTGACTTTTAACAGTGAAAGCGTTTATCTTGGGCTGGGAAAACAACCCTGACTGTAACCGTGAATACAGGGGGCATTGTACACCTGTTCCAAAAGCTGGAAATCAAACAACAATGTTAGAATTACTTACAGGATTTACCTGAAGAAATGCTTCATAGGCAAGTGCAATGGAAAATCAAACATTTCCCAAAATGACGTTAGTATTACATGTAAAGTTTTAAACTTCCTTGTTTTCATTGTAAATGTATGAGTTTTATATTAAAAGATTATAGGCCATGATTAATAACCATTTAACTATTAACTGGCATAAAGCTTTACAAAAATAAATCTAGTAGCTTGCTGGGAGCTAAATTTACTCAAAATCTTTCTATACTTTTTAAAACAGTAAATGATTTATTAGAAACTTTATTATCACAGTGGTACAGTGCTTAATCTGATGTCTTAGATTATACTTGGTTTAAAGAAAAAGTCTGCCCAAGCCATCACCAAGATTTCAGTTCAACCTAATGAAGAAGAAACCTGAGTTTGGATGTAAAATAAGCAATCATTCATTTTTCTCAGGTATCATACATGTGCCTTCAACCCAAAGTGAAGCTTTAAGCAGAACTCTA